TGCGTTATCCTCCAAGAAAGGTATGTCCATTGCGGATTGTTGGTGTGCAGAGGCCTCAACTTGGAATCTCGGTTTCAGAAGAAATCTCTTTGAAAGGGAAATGAGTATATGGGCAAACTTCACTGAAAAAATAGAAGGTGCAGCTATTGGAAATGGAAGGGACATTTTATGGTGGAAAGCGAACCCATCCGGCCGTTTCACAGTCAATTCAGCCTTCATGGCTCTCTGATAGACCCTAGATTACTAAGGTGTATCAACGTAAACGAGTGAGAAAGAGAGAGACGGTTTGAACAAGTGCATTACGCACTCATAGGTGGGCCCTAGAAAATACTTGTTAGTTATACAGGTATAAGGAATATTGGTTAGTTACGTAGGGAGGGTATATCTAAGAGTAGAGATAGGGAGGGAGGGATTATCTGAGTAATTACTAAATTGTGATTGTATTCTCTATGAGTACTTGGGAGAGGCATGGAGCTCTCTAAACTCCCTTGGCTTGTTGATAAATAAAATTGAGGCTTAGGCCTATCATCACCATAAACAATTAGGAATAGTCAGGCATTTTTGAATTAAGGGATATTATTCCACTTTACCAAGAGAAAATGTGCCCCCTACTCCAGTAAATGGGTTGAGATTCATTTCTTTTCTTCTGTGTTTATAGGATTTAAAAGTACAGCATCTACTTTCACCTAATAAGTACAATATAATTACTAAGAAACCCCCACATAATTTAAGATTTCTGAAAATGAAAATATAAATTTGAAAGACATTTTTGYTATGAAATAGGTGAAGGAACCTCCCAATTTTGAATCTTCACTTAGAGTTAATAAGTTCATATTTGAAATAAACTAAGTCTCSAACTAGATTTATAGCTCAAACTTTGAGTTCTTATACAAAAAGTACAAGAAATTTATAGGGATTTTAATTTGTTTTGTGCGTTCATGTGCATGTATCCTGTTTTCATAATTGTTATGAAGCAGTAGCTCAACTTTATATAGTAGCAACCTCGCTATTATTACACTTATATAGAGATAAAATCTCCAAGGTAATTTCTTCAAAGAGAATAGAGACTCTACATTTTTTGTTGCTATTGAACCACAAAGCAACCCTCATGGGACGTTAGATATCAGAGATGTAGTGACAATTTTTATAGGCTTCAGTAGTCTCATTCCCCCAATGATACAACAAAGAAATTGATTGTAAGGTCTATTGAAATAATGTTAAGGATGCAAAGACGTTGATTAGCATAATTTAGAATCCAACAACTAGAGTATGCAAGCAAGAAGTATGTAATAAACCTTTTGCATCAGTTTTAGAAGAGCACAAAGCCGCTCTTGCAGTTCAGGCATCTTTCCGCCATAGTCTATCATTACAACTGGTCTCATTCCTGTACACAAAGCTAAGACATCTGCACCACCAAACAAACAAGCCATGATCAAGGGGGAGGTGACGATAAGAACTATACTGCCAATGCTTTCGAATATGCAATAATCAAAACCCTCAATATGTTGGGTCAAAATTTTCAAATATACCAAAGAATTGAAACACATAAACAAAAGGGGAAAATGAAGACGATGCAGATATTAGAAAACAACAGAAATGAAAGAGTGAGTCTGAGAAGACGAAGGATAATAGAAATTGACCTATTTCAAGGCGACGCTTCGCTGGGAATTTGAGACGCCATTTGATTTGACGAAGAGAAGAATCTAACACCTTCACTGCTTCGTCCASTTCTCTTGCCTCCATCATKCCGCTCATTCACCCCAAAACAGCTCTACTCTTTTTGTTTATTTCTTTTTTTAGTTTAAATATCATTTGATCATAACTTTCAATATGGATTTTTGACAAAAATGATATCTTTTTTTAGGTTGCGTCGTTAGGTCGCGCCACTAGGGAAGCTCACGCACGGGTTGTTTTTTCGCAGATCTGTGCTCGGGCAGATACCGCTTCAATCGTGCTGCCGTGGAGTCGCTGCATTTGGGGAAGCTGCAGAACGCCGGCCGCTGCTGTCTGAGGTCGTCGGAGGAGCACCGTCACCGGAAGAGAACAGTTGAGGGTGGGCCGGCTGCAGGGAGAAGGAAAACAATAAGATGGTGAAATGGAAAATCAATGGTAAAAAGTTTTTGCGACCCACTTAGAATATTAAATTAATTTTTAAAGATAGCGAATTACTATAGTACCTTTGTTCAAAAAAAATTGAAGCAACTTTGGAAATTGATTCAAATAACCTTCAAAAGTGGGTGGAATGTTCAAATGATCCACCCGCCCAAATGACCTATTGCATGTGTAAGAAGAGATGAAATGACCAAAATATCCTTAATTATAAGACATGACCGCTGGAAAAAACCTTGACGGGTCATATTAATTTCCGCCCAGGAATCATTTAATTCACAACAACCATTGCCTTTAATTTTGCTGCTTTTGATTTCTTCTTAAGATTGGACTACATTTGAAAAGCAATTTTGCTGTT